TACATCGCACTTGACACGCGCGAGTGCAACATAAACTGAATGACGTGGCGGGTTTAACCGTTCGGTTCGGTTCGGCGTTCCTTATTTTTTTCTTCCATTCTATGCTAGTAGCATCCAGGAGTCGTTTTGTTGATTTGGGGAGAAAAAGAGAGAGCGATGAAAATATTGCACGTTCCTTGTCTGGAAGACAACTACTCGTACATGTAAGAATTCGAAACACTCTGTCTGTCTGTGTTCTTGAAAACTCAAATTCAATTCAATTCAATTCCAATAACAATTGTTTGCTTCTAATCTCATAGCATCATCGATGAGAGCAGCAAGGAGGCGGCAGTTGTGGATCCAGTGGAACCCCGCAAGGTGATTCAAGCTGCCCATGAACACGGCGCCCTCATCAAGCTCGTTCTCACCACTCATCATCACTGGTAGTAGGGAATTTATAATTAATTATATAGGAATAGGATTTCGATTTTTTTTCTTTTTTTTGGTTGCCTTTCCTTGCATAATTTCTTCTTTCTTCCTCTTTTCATGGCATAGGGATCATTCTGGTGGAAATGATGAAATAAAGGGGCTACTTAAGGATATTAAGGTCTATGGCGGTTCCCTTGATAACGTCAAGGGCTGCACCCATAAACTGGAAAATGGTGATAAGGTTTCGCTTGGGGCTAGCCTCAATATCCTCGCTCTTCACACTCCTTGGTTCGTATTATTGTACAAATACTATCCAATTCATGTTTCTTTCCAGTAAAATTTCAATCTTTCAATATACTTATACTACTGTCCCACCTTATTAAAGCTTAAAAATTTCAGACTTTTATTTGTGGGATTCAGCTGTGACTGATCTTCTTCCCTATTGATTTACAGTTTGTTTAGATCAAGGGGAATGGAGGGGAGTGATTGGGAAAAAATTACTCTATTTGGTTATCAAAAAAATTTTTGGAGGGGAGGGCAGGGAAGGGAAGGAAAAGGAAGAAAGCACTTTACATTATATTTGCTTTTAATTCATTTATTTATCCAAATAAGGGAAGGGGAGGGCAGGGGAGCGGAGGGGAATTGTATCCTTCCATTCCCCTCCCCTCCATTCCTCTCAACCCAAACATACTGCTAGTCAACTATTCTTATTTGTTGAGTTTAGTTTTTAATCCTTCTCTTTCCCATCTCACTCTCATCAGCCACACTAAAGGTCATATTAGTTACTATGTCACAGACAAGGAGGATGACCCAGCTGTTTTTACTGGAGATACACTGGTAAGCTAATTAAAAGATTCTTCCTTTCTCTGCTTCGCAATTAGATTTTATCAAGAAATCCCTATGGAACCAATTAGGGTCGCTGTGTGTTGTTTACAATATCATCTTGGCCGTGGCCTTAAGAAATGCATTTTGCAGCAATTCCCCACTTGGTATTTAGTAATTAAAATAGGCAACATCTATTATCTTGCATTATTTTCATCCCTTTTCACTTCTTTGATTACTCAAATTGCCTTCTATTTGAAGTTTAGGCCACTACACTAAACTTGTTAAGAGTATAAAAGCAATTGTTGGTAGCCCTGTTGAAGATTGGGATATGTTTGGTGGTTCCATGAGCTTGTGGTTGGATCGTACATATCAATAAGGTTGCTTGTGTGGCTGCATATTAAAAAATGAACCTATTGTTTTGCATGTAACTAGTATAAGTTCAAGTTTTTAGGTGAATGATTCTTTAGTAAAGCTGTCTCTCCTGCCACAAAGGGTTTGATTGGTTGTTTCTGTATTATATCCAAGGTTGCAGAAAGCGCTAGGCAATGGTGGGCGGTTGCCCACAGCCTAGAACCTAGAGTGCCTAGGCGGCCTAGGCGGTTTTTTTTTTAATAATACTTTTTTGATATAATTATAAGAGAATAAGAAAAAAATGTAAAACAATTTTAAAAGTTATAAAATAAATAGAAAAATTAAACATTTTTTTATTCATTATTATGTCTAAAGAGCAGAATTTAAAGGAATTACTTTGCATTTAATTTTTTTTAATATAATTTTTATAATAAATTAAACGACATCATTTCATTAGGCTAAAAAATTAATAAAAGGCATTTGCTCAAGCACTCTAGGTGCCATTAAGCATGCCTAATAATGCCTGGATGTACTTAATTGATCTGGGTGATGCAAACCACATTGAATTTCTGCGGGCGGAATGGCATTGCCTAGAGCCTAGGCTGATGCGGGCAGAATGGCACCGCCTAGAGCCTAGGCATCGCCTAGGCGAGCTTTTTACAACACTGATTATATCTCATATTTCACTTCTTTCTATCCATTATCATGGTTCAAGCCATTGTTCCCTTTTTTTGGTTATTTGTAGTTCATTGCTGGTTGTGGGAAATTTTCTGAAGGCACGGCTGAACAAATGTATCAATCACTGTGTGTCACTTTGGGCTCACTGCCAAAACCAACTCGTGTTTACTGTGGCCATGAGGTAGGAGATGCCACTTCCCTTTCTGACTTCTTTTATGACATTACGATGATTTTTTTTTCTTGATTTTACTTTTGGTTGCTTACGCAATTCCTATAGATGTTTCACTTTTTCTCTTTGCGCAAATGGATGTTTAAGCTTTGATTGTACATAGGAAGCATTTGAAAGTCTGCTGTCTCATAAAACGAATCTCTGCCTAAAAACTTCTGTTTGGTTTCTTCTGCATTTTTGCCCTTGTAAACTACCAACATGCAAAAGCCTCTTTGGTTGATTTTATGGCAGAGTAGTTTTAAAAATTGTTTTCTGACTCAATGTCATCTACATTGTCAAATATGGCTGTTCAGTTGTTTACAAATATGAAATCAAATCCAGAAAAGTCTTAATGGGGAATCTTAGGTATAATGTAATTACTGTTGTCTTTAGGGAGCGTAACAAGGGAATGCCGTGGGCTACATTCTCTTCTTGGTTGCAAAGAAATTAAAGTTAATGAATGTGTCTGCATCATAAAGTAGACTTTGAAGAAGAGATGAATTCCCTAATATTGTGTCTTGGGTTCCAATTTTCAAACTTGGTTTTTCTTTGCCTTTTTTTTTTTTTTTTGGTCTCCTTTGCATTGATTGTTCTTTCGTGATAAAATGTTTGGTTCAATATTGTTCCAGTACACCTTGAAGAACCTGCAATTTGCATCAACAGTTGAGCCAAAAAATGTGAGGATACAACAAAGGTTATCATGGGCTAATCATCAGCAAGAAGCAGGCCTGCCCACCATTCCTTCAACCATTGAGGAGGAGATGGAGACAAACCCTTTCATGCGAGTTGATCTACCTGAACTTCAGGTTAATTTACCCTTCACCATTCAAATTCACTTCATTAAGTTTGAATAGATTGATGACAGTGTGATAGCTTGCAGAGTTTGTGCAGATTGTTTTGTATACCTTTACCCTTTTTTTTAATGAGCATTGCATACTGCCATAGAATCTTGTCGTCTCATTTGAGAGGACGCCAGTTTTCTTACTTTGAAATTTAACTTATTGGCAGGAGAGCGTTGGTTGCAAGTCTCCTGTCGAAGCACTGCGGGAGATAAGGCGGAGGAAGGACAATTGGCGGGGCTAATCAAGGATTTGGGTTAATGCTTTTAAGAAAGGGGAAAAGGAACAAAGAATAAGAAATGTGTGTGTGTTTAAGTGACGCTGTTGCCTGTGTGCATCTGTAGTTGTGTCAAACTAATGTTGCATTCAGTTAATGTTGATACTCGTTTGAAGTACATGTTTGCAGTATAATAATATGGTTTGCCATTCCCTCTTCAGTATTATGAGTTTATGACACATTAATTGTGTGATTGTAGGATATCATCATTGTCAACACGGGATGAGAAACTGATGTTGGAATTAATGAGTTTAGTTGACCTATGCAGGGTAAATCGTGCATGTGGATTGCAGGTTACAGAGTCAATAATTATCACTGTATAAATAAAGACTATAGAGGAACATGGCCAAAAACAAAACCCCCAAAAAAAAAAAAAATTGCAGGAAAAATCTACCATGTCGGATATAAACCGCACAGCGTAGGAGATAAAGATGTTAGGTGAATGGGAGAGAAGTTAAGGCATCTAGCTTGTTGCAGGACTGGAGGAGTAGCAGTCGAGTGCAGCCTTGACCAGTTAAAGTCATACATTTGAGTGCATCTGCCGCGGCACCATCTGCAGGGATTGATGCCTTTGAAAAGTAGGTTTATAGTCGAAATGGCATGATGACGCGGATGGGCAATAAGAGCTGCTGTGGTCTCCACAAAGCCACTATATAATGCATTTAGAGCTGTGTGACAGCTTGAAGGGTTATAAAGAAAAAAAAATACGTCTTGTACTGTATCTATTATCTCTCTCTATATAATTATATTATATTATATTATATGACTGTCTCACAAAATACTTCAAGTACATGGTACTTGAATTAGAATCTTTCAGGAATTTATTCTTTATTTATTTATTTTGGATTTGTCGTTTATCTTTAATGTATGGCTGTGTGTCCACTGTCACCAATAATTTTGGTACAATTCTAGACGCTCAACTTGCTCAAATTAGCATAGTCAATTACTAGCTTTTAGTTTTTTTTTTTTTTGAACTGAAGTTAAATTATAACCGGCTGCTAGTTTTGGTTGGTAAAAGTTTATTTTTAGTCGTTTATTTTGTTAAGGTTTTAGTCTCTCATTTTATATTGTGATATTTTAACTTTTTATTTTATTATATTTATGAATTTTAGCTCCTCACTTTATATTACAACATTTTTAATTCGTCACCTATTAAAATTGAAAAAAATACGTCTCATTTTATAATATTTTTTTAGTTCTGTTAATTAATTGTTAATTCTGTTAATCGACTATTAGTTAACTGTTAACTATCAAAAACTTTCTTTTAGTTAACAGAGTTAACAGAATTAACTTTATAATATTTCGTTAATTTTGTTAATTAGTTATTAATTGACTGTTAATTGATAAAAATTTACTTTCAATTAACAGAGTTAACAGTTAGTATATAGTGAGGATTATTTTCTTCAATTTTAATAGATGATGGGTTAAAACTTATAAATCTAGTAAGATAAGGGATTAAAACTTTTAAATATGGTAAGATGAGGGGTTAAATGTAAGTTTTTGCCGTTTTGGTTTGCCGATGGATGAAGTGGTTAAATAATAATTTTTTTTCTTAATAAAAGTAAGATGCGTTTGTAAGAAGCAGAGATCT